TTTTAACTTTTTTCCCCCCCATATAAGGCCATCACTGCACAGGTCAAGCAAACACAGGCAGGGACGGCAAAGCAAATGGAGTAAAAATATTGACAGCTGGGAAGAGGGACAAAAATAGACTTTGTGGGGCAAGTACATTTCATTGGAGACTCATTTCAATCCCCTTGGTCTTTATACTGGCACCACCACCATCTGATACTTTCCGGTGTTGCATAGAGCAGCCACCGCTGGGCATTGTGGTTCTTGCAGCAGGCCTCTAATTCACTACTGTTTTGGACTCAATCAGCACCAGGAGTTGTGGAAGTGAGTGTCTTGCCATTCAATGTAGAGGTATTCGGCTTTATCTTTCAAATGATGCTGAATTTTTCTTTGTATAAGTAACAGGGTGGCTTTAAAGTAGATGTAAGCCATAACTTAATGACATTTACTTTGATAAAGTAATGTGCACCTTAAACAATGGCCATTTTCTTTTATTTAGGTTCATAAAATATTAGTTTTCAAATTTGTTGACCTTTCTTCCATCTTAGCACTGCTGATCTGTTGGCCGCCACTTCCTTTCTACAGGAATACCACTCCATTTGGTAGGTTTGCCGATGGTGACATTGGACCATGCCTGCATATTTTGTTAACGGGTGCTTGACATGTGAAGCAGAAGTACTACTGGGAGACGGAGGGGGGAGGAAAAAAAAAAAGTGTGGTCACCCTGTAACAGGAGGCACCTGAATAAGGACCTTCATGGCAGGAATACAATGTATTATTTTACAAAAGCTGCTGATGTAAAAATTTAACAACATGTTATGGCTTATATGAGAATTTACACTGGCAGAAGAAAGAAATGTTTGCTGGTGATGGAGTAGATACACATCCTTGCTTATAGCTGGGTAGCTACATGATGAAGAAACAATAACATGCAATTTAGGCAACAAAGGATAGGAACTCACAGTCCTTATAATGTAGGTTTTTTTTTTTGTATAGCCAATGTTTTGCAGCACTATTATTTAAATGAGCTTTCAGTCCTCATGTTCTCACATAGTAATATGAGCGCGCACACACACCAGGAACAACCTACCAGTATGTTTCCTAGAACATCCAAGCACGACATATGTTCTACATATAGAACTTCCAATGGGAATTGAGCCCAAGGGCCCCTAGGGATAACCAGAAACCACCCCAACTAAAAAACATACTTACAAAGAGCTGAAGATAACAATAACATTTCTTATAGAAATACCTTACCTGCCAACATTCAAACCCACCCTAAACCTTGAATCTAAATGGAGACTATGGGGTAACAATTCAATATAATGCCATGTTAACAATTCACACCTTCCGCCATTACTCACCCGCCACCCCAACGTCATGTCCTCATGGTGACTGAATTATGTATTTAGCGCAGGGTGGTTGGCCAAAACTGTCACACCTCCCGTCATGTACTTGGGCAGTATCTGCCTTGACACATTCCATGGTGATTGGATTAAGACACCGAGTTACCCGTGTAGCTATAAACGCTGGGGTAGTTTCCAGACTAGGGCTGCAACAACTAATCGACATAATCGATTATAATCGATTATTGAAAAAGTTGTCAACTTTTTCAATAATCGATTAATCGGCTCCTGATTGGTTGGCCCTGTTCACAGCTTAACACACGCTGCGTGCCACACCTCCTCCCCCACCTCACGCTCGCCGCTGCCAGACCTGCCCGCATCCACGCTCCCGCACCTCAAGCTCACCGCCCGTCCAAATCCACGATCGGCGCGGGGAGAAGAAGTAAGGAGGAGCAGGTGTGGGGGGAATGACAGCCGCCGATAGGCCCCATCTCAGAAACAAGTTGCTGGAAGACTGCTCAGGTAAGCCTGCACTCCCACCCACACATGGTGCTCTATAATGTATTGCTGGGATATGTATTCCTCTATAGCTGATGGTACATTGTGCTGTATATTATACAGAGCAATGTACCATCAGCTATAGAGGAATACAAATCCCAGCAATACATTGTACACTGCATGTATAATGTTTTGCTGGGATTTGTTGTACTTCTATATAGGCGGTGGTATTCTGCATTGCACTGTATAGAGGACTACAAATCAAGGAATACCACCAGCTATAGAGGAGTACAACAAATCCCAGCAATAATACATTATACAGTGGTGCAATGCCGAATACCACCAGCTATAGAGGACTACAACACCCAGCAATAGTACATTATACATTGCAATGCAGAATACCACCAGCTATAATGTACTATTGCTGGGATTTATTGTATTTCTCTATAGCTGGTGGTATTCTGCATTCATTGCTGTATAATTTTACACTTTTCATTTCACTATATTGTACACCACACTTTTTTTATCTTTTTTACTTCTACTGCTCCAAGCTTGCTCCTGTGATGGACTGCAATCTCAATACAAAACTAGAAGTCCCATCATTGGAGCCATTTTTTAAAATGTATTTTATTTTTTATCCGATTAATCGAACTTGATTATCGGCTAACTAATCGATTTTGAAAATAATCGTTAGCTGCAGCTCTATTCCAGACACTAAATACAACCAAGGAAGCTAATTGGATCAGTGATGAATCATAATTACAGAACAAGTCCATTTCAATGGGACTACTACCACTTCATGCCAGCAAACCTTTCAACATGGAGAGTACAGAAACAATAATAGTAATGAGAAGCAGTGATCCATGGGCTGAGATGCCACATGAATTGACTCATAGTGATGGCAAGAATACAAAGTCACCCTCCTGGCATTTGGGGGGATAAATCATACAAAGTCTCTCACAAATGACAATTTATTTTTACTTGTTGTGGAACTACAGTCAGCCCACCTACTTACCCAGAAGACTAAAAAGGTCATACTTGTGCTTCCACAGTAGCTCATAATGCACTAGATGCCCATCACATGCGTATATTGTTATAGACACAAACAAATTTATATAGACACTGTTTTTATTTCAAAATCATTTATTTTTTTTAAATTACGAAAAAGAAAAAAATATATGGCAATTCTTTTCTTGCCTGTACATATTGCATAGATTTCCGTTACACAAGATATACATTAAATAGCGGTTTTCTTTGAAACATAAAAACGTGCAAAAATGAAATGGCTCCTTTTTATCCATAAAATGCTGTATCGAAGAAGACATTTGGGTTTCCCCAGGTAAACGTTTAAGCATCATTTACCTGTCACATAGAGAGGAGAAATCAAATTTTTTTTTTAAGTGTATGTCTCTTGGAACAAAAGCAGTGCTAAAGGGCAGTAACTCAGATTTCAGTTTGCTGGAGTCATATCGGCTAAGAGGACATCTGAGTGGTTGCCATCAGCTACTGCACTTTGATCCAGCTTATGTATTAAATCGGATCGTGTATCGGTTCCTCATCTCTATCTGTGTTTTACTAAACCCCAAGCACATTTTCCAGTGGTCTTGTAACCTGCATACCCTAGAGGCAGCCATTTTGAATCTGAATATTTATGAGAATTCATGACTACACTGAGGAATAAAGAAACGAGTCACTAGGTCTGAATCAAATGCCTCAGAAATTCCTACTGCACACAAGGGCTGAAATTTCAAACACTTGCCCTACAAAATGGCTATCCATGATCGAGGTAGACAGGTACACTTTGAGTTGAGCGGTTGAAAATATGGCTGTCTTTTTTATAAATTACAGAGAGCGATTGCTCATGAGGTCACTTATATTTCACATTTAATACACCTGTAAGGTGCGCCCGCCCTCCCCCCAAAAAAACCCCACATACAACGTTGAGCTATTGAAAAGTGACAAAAAAAAAAAAGACAAAAGCATGTCATAGGTCGTGTAGAATAAAAGGTTAATCGCTTTCTGCGACCCCCATTAGTACTGCCCATTCAGGCTATATTTATCATCTTCATACATTATATAAAAAACTGTAGGAGAAAGCTATATGCACTAGGTGCTGCATAAGGGCCCAGTGTCCATATATTTAAAAGGAGAACTATGAGGTGAGTGATTTTCACTCAACCTCATAATTCGGGCCGACGTGTGACAATTAAACTGTCACATGTCGGCTCAATAGATCGGGAAGTGAGCAAACACATAGTCGCTCGCTTCTCAGTCATCTCCCTGCAGGGATTCCCCTTCCCGATCCTCCAACGCTGACTGGCGGAACGGACGGGGAAGGGAGCGGGTACAACTGGCTCTGCCTCCAGATAGGCAGATCCCACTGTCACTCACGCAACTGGGTGGATCGACAGTAATGTCTGGATCCGTCCCGGCTGCGGCGGTCTCAGTATACCGCGAGCTGTAGCTCGCGATATACTGAGATTTGGGTCATGGGAGGATGCTAGTATATGTCCTCCGGTGACCCTTTAAAGTGTCAGTCCACTCAAATGATAAGAGTCCAATCACATTCTGTCTTCATATTGCCATTCTCTATGTATGCATTTTCCATACTGTAAAATAAATGGACATATGAAGGAGTCATCAACATATGGAAATCAAGTCCAGAGTTGGAGCTGGAGTCTTAAGATATATAATATGAGTAGATTTACAGCTTCCCAACATCTAACGAACTGGGCTATCCTCGTGGACTACAGAATGGAGGTGAGCACAAAGCAATAACATTTGCAAATAGAAAAAGAAAGAAAAAAAGTGAAATAGCCGACTCGAAATCTAGTTGCGAGACGTGAATTAGGAAACGGAAGACTAAGTAAACTTCAACCCTAGTAAAGTGACAATGAAGCACCCAATGTGAGATCTTCCAAACACCAAAAAAAAAAAAAAGGATAATGGGAGACTCAGGTATGACAGTTGATCTGTATATTAAAAATAAAATAAAATACATTCTTCACAGAAGACATTGTGAGTTGCCTGTCCATTGAAAACACTAGCAACCCAAACCTCTATAATACATGACGGTATTAAAATTAGTAATAAAGAAAAAAAAAGGAAGCAATATGCACTAGTGGATCAGTCATGACAAGTCTGATAAAAGGTAAATATCTATTACTGCATGGCTTCTGTAAACACTGAACACTTCTAGTTACTGGTTTGTAGGCACCATTCTCGCATTATGACATGCAAGATAACCAGCAAAGGACAGCATACAGTTTTGTGCAAATATATGCATAGTCTCAGAGTCCTTCCAGCTCAGAAATATTATACTGGCCCATCCTATTGAAAAAGTTAGTTCTTGCTTTAGGAAGATGTCAGGACCCAACAAGAATTTCAATAATGTTATCAATGTCATTGGTTTCCCGCATACCTTGACTAGAACTGTAAGATGGGGAGCTACAGGAGGAAGAAAACCATTGTTCTTCTGATGCAGACAAACGGGTACTTAAGGAGGATCCTATAGACTGAGATTCTTTCTCAAACACAGAAGTGTCAATGTCTGAAAAGGGATCATCAAGAGAGACATCGTTAAGATAGCTGGAATTCATGATCTCAAAACTGCCAAAGACAGCCTCTGAGGGTCTGAGCTCCTCAGCTGGAACAGTTAATACAGAGTTATCGGCTGGGAGTTCAGACTTCATCTGTTCAGGGCTAGAAGTGTCCATAGCTACTGGTGCGTCACCATTAGAGTGTGAGGAGGCTTTAATAGGCACTGGCTCCAAAACAGAAGTGTCCATAACAGTAGGAAGTTCGGGTGGCGCATCTGGAGCAGATGCAGGCAGGTTTTCAGAACATGCTGCAGCCAACACCAGGTCTCTTATCAATTCAATTTCCCGAGCATCCCCTAAGGAGCTAGAATTAGTATTAAAAAGCTCTTCCTTCCTAGCATCAACACCGTTACTTGGCGTTTGTGCGGCTGGGAAGGGGACACGTGAACCAACTTGGTTGACAGACTCCGCCTTGGCTTCCGCATCATGCATGACAAAGGTTCGTGGAAGACTTTGCGGACAACTTTCATCTAATACACTTTCTAACTCTTTCAAAATGGAGGCAATGGCAGCAGACACAGAAAAGTCATCTTCTATGGAAGGTAGAAGAATATTTTCCAGATCTGGAGGGAGAAGAGAGCTTATGACATTCCCAGTTGATGGATCACATATGCCAGGGATTCCACCCTCCATGGCAGGAAGAGGGCATAGACTTTCATGGCGAATATCTTCCTGGATGACTCTCAGAGTATTGGCGATGAGAACATAGCGTCGCAAGCTAGGCTCTACCATCATACGTCCCTTGTTGAACTTCTCAAGCGACATGTTGAGCAAGGACTGACGGAAGAAGGTGTAACTGTCTGTCTGAAAGGACAGGTGTCCATCCAGCACAGACTCTTCCCATTGAGGATATTTCCTTTTGATGCCTCTGGTAGGCATGGCCACCTATAACAAAACAGAAAAAAAAATGGTTAAAAAAACATTTAGTGTTTTGGGGGAACAGTTATGCTACAACAGTAGAAATGGACCTGTTCATCAGAAATCAGATTTCATTGGAAAATGCATTACAGTATTGTATTTCCAAGTTCTACTTTTATTTTGCCTCTGTGCAAAGCAGCCTCTCCTTGATCTTTCCCAGCGACATCGCAGCTCCAGCGCACACATTGGTTGGTCTTCCCCTGTATCATTTCTCCAGCTTCCTTTCCAAAAACTCATCAGCCTGCAGGTCACATACTCTATCAAGTAATGTCTATGTGCTCCCTGTACACAGCCAACTGAGCCCAGACACACAGCCTGGAGGTTCCGCACCCAGAGTAACGCTACAATCAGCAGAAGTCTCTGTCCCATTTGTAGAAGCAGAGTCATTGCTTCACAGTAACTGGAGGTGTGCGTGTGTCATCCAGAATTGTGTTTATGTGCATTAAGACACACATTGGCCTTTCCCCCAGTATGCTGCCCCCAGCACACACATCACTTCCCAGTAGCCATACCAGCAGGAAGATGCCCATCCAGTACACACATCTCTCTAGCTAGTTTTGCAGCAGCAGAGTGTGTGCATTAACTGGGCAGTCACCATCTGCAGTGTATGTTTATTAACCCATCAGTGACTAGTCTGCAGTGTATGTTCATGCACGTCATTGATCAGCCATCACAGATGTGTTAACCCCTTCCACCAGTTTAGCCGTGTTAATCCTGCAGTAACCTGTCTGCAGTGTATGTGATCTACTTCAAGATCATGTGAATCAACCTGCACTCTTCTCCTGCCCATGCCGCTCACAGTCGTACCCTCTGCACACCTCTCCTGCCCATGCCGCCCACAGTCGTACCCTCTACACACTTTTATACCCACAGAAGGAAGTAAAGGGAATCTCCCCAAAAAAAGACTAGCTGGCTGCGTTTAAAACACAAGTTAGTAGTATAAACAACTGTATGCTTCCCAGATCACTTTTGCCTGTGTTTAGTTGTTGCTGGTTTAGTTGCATCTATGTGCTTACACACGTTTAGCTGCCTAAGAAATGGGCTAAACGCACCCGGGACGCAAATTCCTAGTTTGGGTAAACGCTTCTAGACTGAATGCACCTAGATGCTGCTGGAGTTACAGGTGCACATTCGCTTATAGGAAGGCATTACACGAGTCCATGTGCGTTTAGAAATGAGCTTCAAAATGAACCTACATACATTTTTATTGTTAAATAATTAGGAAGATAGAAAAAAAATTATATACATCTCTATCTATATCTATATAGATCTATAGATAGAAGATGCATATAGATTATATATCTATATTTCCCCATTTAATTATTGTATGCATAGTGTTGATTTTATATAAAATATATTTATTACACATCAATTAGGAAGTGCTCCAGTGTAACACTTGCATTATTTAGCGATAATTTTGCACCCAGCATAGTGTACATTTGAAGCTAATAGGAAGTATAGTTTGTTAGAGCTGGAAAGAGATCCTATTACAAGAGAAGGCTCATCACTAATCCTCCCCCACCCCAGCATGAGAGCCCACCCTCCCCCCTCCTCTGGAGCTGGCCCGTCCCCTCCGCTGGCTGGGATTGTGGAAAACAAGCACAAAAAAACAGCCGTGCTACCATTTTGAAAAACACCAATATGAACAAGGGTGATGGTGATCCCTCTGCACCCAGATCCCATAGATATGAGCAAACCCCGGGATTTCACCTTTCCCTTATTACTAAAAAGAACAGCCCACCCACTGCACTTTATTGTGAGACCTCACAAGCATGATAGCACTTTGTTCCAATACACAGCTATATACAAATTTACAAACATGTATGCAACATACTCAAAGTCCAATGAAATGTTTACAAAACCCAACAAAAAAAGGCAAATCCAGAAATTGTACAAATCTGTCTGCAACTACATTAGTAGGTGATCAAGGCTGGGGGCGGAGCCTAAAACAAGTACATGAATGTTCTATGCACAGGTGACTCCTGGAGGAGTCTCAAATGGCAAAATTAAATGTCCATACAGGAAGTGTGCAACACAAAATACACCCCTCTATCTTATATACACACACACACATACATATATACATATACATATATTACACACACACATATATACACACAAATAAAATATTACTACATACAGTAAAAAAAAAAAAATCCCACACAGTTTTAAGGCAATCAGAGGGCACATCCTGCATCATACAGCACAGGTGTACCTTACATCAGTAACAATGTATATAATTAATATTTAAAAAAGGAGGGGCAGCCATTGCTCTGATCCATTAATATTAAAGTGCCAGAATTAGGAATAGACTAGACACCAGTAGATCGGTACATATAATATCATACATTGTGCAGACATCGCTGTGATTTGCCATCGCACACAGTGTAACCAGGAAGATTGATACATCTGATCCGCAGTACACTGCCTATGCGATAACCCGGCACATACAGAGCGCCCAACTCAGCAATGCATCGTACAGCTGGCACGATCCGCTCAAACTTACTCATACGAAGATCAGCAGTAGCTCGGCAGATGTCCGCTGTTCGGTAATAGCCTCATCTAGCTCAATGAAACAATCTGTTCCCGCCGCTGAATTCAAGTTTAGTATCTATCGGCGAAGCGAACGCCCTCCCTCTTGCTCTCGCAAAGCACGACGGGAATTGTAGTTTAACTCGAGCTTCCAACCAATAGGGGGGCTGGCCGGCAGGACTTACAATCCCACAATGCAGCGGGGGTTTGCTCATTGGCGCATGCGCAAACCATCATGCTCGGCTACGGCTTGATTAAACTGATGTATAGCTGGGGTTTAATTTAAAGAGACAGTGCCCGATTATAGGAGTGCGTGCATTTCTTGCTGCAAGTTGGGGTACCGCGTGTGACCGGCGGTAAAGTGCATCGTAAAGCACGGCTTGCCTGCTACAGGGAGCTGCGAGAGCGCTAGATTGCTGGCAGCCCTCCGCTATGACTGCCGTCTATAATGCAGCTAGGAGATCCTGCTCGTCTGTGTTGGAAACAATACAAATATTACAGCCAAGCCATCTGAATTTGCCGGTAGTCAGTCTATATGAGCGTGATAAAAAAGGGGGGGGGGGGTGTCCCCAGCTAGTCAGTCTATATGAGCGGGATAAAAAAGGGGGGGGGGGTGTCCCCAGGCTGGGCTGCAGAGCTAGCAACCAGGCACTGTCACGGCTTTACTTGCAAGCCAGTTAAAGTCACTTGCCTGAGTCCTGATGAATGCCCCCCCCTGCAGTAACACACGTGACTCACCTTGATCTGTCGCCTCTTCCCCTTCTGGGTGCACAAGGTTACAGGCTGCTGCCTCCCAGGCGGGTAGAAAGTCGCCGTATTCCCCCAGGATTCATACTGTACAGTTAGAATCTATCCCCAGCAGCCCCCTTCTCCCTGCACTGCACTCGCAAACATACCCAGCCCCACTCCTACTGCTCTCCGCTCATTGGGCGCCCGACTTACACTGCTCTCCGCTCATTGGCAGCTTCACCAACCTGGCTCACCGATCCAGGTGGCCGATTGGTGAAGATGGCGAGATCCCTCCCCCCTCCGCCTCAGCTGCTCCTCTCCCTTTACTATTGCACAGAGGAAAACGTGGAGGGGGTGGGGAGAGCTGCCTTCACCTTATTAGCGGAGTGGCCGCTCCATGGAAGAGCAGCTGGGGACATGCATGGCGGAGGACATGTCCTAGGGGACACTGGACTCAGCTTCCATGTCATGGCTCCTGTAGGGTGTCACCGCGCAGCACAAACAGCATTTCTTTCCTAATACACTAATCTGTGGTGGGAGAGCTATGTTATGTGCCAATGCTGCTGACCTACTTCTAAAAATGCTAGCTGCCTGACCTCTTCTGTTTTTATGAAAAAAGAAAAATCCCCCCCTTTAGGGCTCATTCACACTTTGTCCTTCTTGTGTGTTGCACGGATGCAGGTGCATTAATGCAATTGTGCCAGGTGTGGGCACAACAGTCCAAACATCAGACATGCAGCAATTTTTCCTACTCAACGCACAGCATTGTGTGGCAATGCATGGGGGGAGGGGGGGGCTGGCTGTGTGGGGTCTTAGCAGGCCGTGCCCTCTAAGACCCCAGGAGGCTGTAAGGCATCTCAGGTGGTTTGTGCAGGGTCATAGGTGGTCTGTGCAGGGTCATAGGTGGTCTGTGCAGGGTCTCGGGTGGGTTGTGCGGGTACTTAGGAGGGCTGTGCAAGCTCTCAGGTAGCTATGAGGCATCTCAGGTGGGCTGTCCAGGGTCTCAGGTGGGCTGTGCGGGTTCGTAGGAGGGATGTGCAGGCTCCCATGAGGCTGTGTGGGCTCTCGGGTGGGCTGTGCGGGCTCCCAGGTGGCTGTGAGGCATCTTAGATGGGCTGTGCAGGGTCTCAGGTGGGCTGTGCAGGCTCTCAGGTGGGTTGTGTGGGGTCTCAGGTGGGCTTTGCAGGCTCTCAGGTGGCTGTGAGGCATCTTACCTAGGGTGTCAGGTGGGTTGTGTGGGGTCTCAGGAGGCTGTGTGGGCTCTCAGGTGGCTGTGAGGCATCTCGGATGGGCTGTGCGGGGTCTTAGGTGGGTTGTGTGGGGTCTTAGGCTGTGCGGGGTCTCAGGTGGGCTGTGCGGGCTTCGAGGTGGCTGTGAGGCAACACAGGTGGGCTGTGCAGGGTTTAAGGTGAGCTGTGCAGGATCGTAGGAGGGGTCTCACCAGTGGTCTGGATGGTCTTGTGGGTGGGTGTGGTCTGTTTCGTTCCACAGGAAGGAGGAGATGTGGGCTGGCACTGTAAGCAGTGCATTGAGGGCCCCAGAAGGCTGCCTGAGGCCCCAACAAGCACAGGACCTTACAGCACCCGCTTCTGTAAAAAAATGTAAAACGCTGGAATCAGCGATTAGTATCGGGGCACCGATACCGGTAATGGCAAGTAAGGCTCTGCCTCACTGGCTTGGGGGCGGCGGCGCTTTTTTTCCGCCCCCCTGGAAATTGCCTCTGGTTTCGGCTCTTGGGTCCCCAGGTCTTTTCACCTTAAGTCCCCCGTTGATCCGTTTTTTAGTTTACCCCCAATATATTATGGTGGAATTTATCAAAGATGGAGCAGACAGAATTTGGAACAGTTTTCTATAGTAACCAATCAGCTTCTCTCTTCAGTTTGTTCAGTTAAGCTTTGAAAATAAAACATAGGAGCTGATTGGTTGCCATGGGCAAATGCTCCAGATTCTGTTTGCTCCAGTTTTGATAAATTACCCTCTGGGCCAGTGCACATTACAAATAGTGCGTCCCAGAGCAGTCAGGCTCCGGAACGCACTTTATCGCACTCCGGCCGGCTCTGGGGCGTGAGGGGGGCGTGGTGATGCATTAAAGTCAATGGCACCATAGCTACGCCCCCCGCCCACAGTGCGATCGCCGGCACCCGAACGCGTGGCACATCAGTGCCTGCATTCCGGTCCAGTGCGATCTGCAAAAAATAGTGCCATTGACTTCAATGCACTGCCATGCCCCTGAACGCAGGGAGCCGGTCAGAGTGCGATACAGTGCTTTCCAGAGCCTAACCACTCTGTAATGCACTGTTTGTGGTGTGAACCAGCCCTCAATGTGCCTTTGTTTTTTAGGACAGATAAGGCTTTCATTGGTAGCAAATTTGTATACATATATTTTTATTTCTATTATTGAGAAAAAGAAGGGAAAAAAAAGTTTTCCTGTTACATCATTTCCAGCTCCTGACATAGATTTACCACTAAATATAATCAACAATGTCTACTGATAAAATGACATCCCCTTAGTGCGACTTTTATGTATCGTAACAGAACGGCAAGGGTCCGTTAACACATATAGTGGTGACCTCCATTTTACCGCACCGGATCATAGAAATTCAATTGTTTTCTACATGCCCTGTCCCCACTACAACGCAGGCGTGATGGGCGGTGTGCTGATGTCGCAGTGTGCTGCTGTGCGGGGACCTGAATGGAGTGTACACATTGAGCACTATCAATAAAGTAATAAAATATATAAACAGCGACAGATCCGGCAGTGTGCATTGTATTGCGCAATGGCACGTAGCATTTTAGCGGCTGGGCCCTAATGCTCAGGGTAAACGTTTACGTTTTACTTTAGAAGAGCTTTATATCTCTTTTAGGCCCCGTTCACATTGAGCGATTTATCGCGCGGTAATTCCCGCGATATCGCAGCTATTTACTGCGCGATATCGCTCTTCAATGCATCCCAATGGGGCAAAGGGTCCTGCTGTCGCAGGTCGTGTGTCGCTACAGCAGGACCCTTTTTGGAGCGGATTTTGCCGCGATTCTCGCTTGCTCAATGCAAGCATTTGCGCGATATCGCGCAAAATGCAAATCGCGCGACAAACGTGCGATTTGCGAATCGCGCAATGTGAACGGGTTCTTAATGCTACATTAAGATGAAAGGGGGGGTTTGCAGAAAATGTTGGTGTAAGGTTAAGATAAGATGACGTCGGGTTGATGATGGCGCAAATTAGCACGAGAGCATATTATTCACCAGTCTGCGTTTATCAAAAATTCAAATGATATTGCGTTCACTTACATGAGCATTCTGTTGGCCCGTTCACACCACCCAGTGCGTTCATGTCACAGTTCTGTGCCATGAACACACTGGATCGCATAATCAAAGCCTCCCCATGTTATGGGGTGTGCGGTGCCATTCATTTCAATGGCACCACAGACACCCCTCCAGCCCGTAGTGCGATCGCCCGCACTGGTACAGCAATGCCTTGCGTTCTACTGCAGTGTGATTGCAAAAAATCGTGTATGCACTGGAATGCCGGGCACTGCTGTACTACGCGTTCTGTTGCAGGCGTTTTCACTGCAGGCGGGAGGTGTGTTTCTGGTGCCATTCATTTCAATGGCACCGTAGACACACCTCCCGTCCGCACTGAAACGCGGGGAGACTTTGATTATGCAATACAGTGCATTCATGTCAGGAAACTGTGACATGAACCTACTGGATAGTATGAACGGGCCCTAAATGTCATCGATTTTTGAGGGAATATTTTTTATTTATTTTAAATTTTATAGACTATGAGAGGAATTGATCAAAACTGGAGCAAACAGAATCTAGACCAGCTGCCTATGGCAACCAATCTGCTTCTCTCTTCAGTTTGTTCATTAAGCTTTAAAAATGAAAGCAAGTTCTTGTTCACTCCGACGTTTCTGGAGGTTATGCTGAAAACGGGGCAATTTTGAACTTTATCCCAAGCGCCAACTCTGCTACGTCCCTCCTCTCTCGGCCTCAAATGTGAGGAAATGGTCTAAAGACTTTCAAGAACCAGATATTGTGGACCACATTTTGCATGCTTATAATATGATCAGGGGAATTATCATAAATGAGACGTGGAGGGAGACTCAGTTCAAAATTATGCATAGAGCTTATGTACCATACTTCATGGCAGCGGGACCATCTCCACAGCCACTCGTCTCGAAGTGCCCCACCTGTGGCCATCAACGCCCTTCTCTAGCTGGGCTGGGCTGGGCCCTCCTCCCTACACCGCTCGATCAGCCTCCTGTGACAGAGGAGAGCGAGATACAAACACTCAGCGATCAGTGATCGCTGAGTGTTTGTAGATAATTGAGGATATTGTATGTTGACTATATCCTCAAATAAGAATGAATGGGAAGTCATCTACATCACCTCATGTTCATTCATAATTGTAGTTATAGTAAACATACTCTGTTATGAATTCTCGTAGAGGATTCCTGTTCATTGAAAACAGGGAATACAGAAAAAGAGATTGAGGACTTTGTGTTCTCAATCTCTTTTTCTTTTTTAAAAGGGAAATATCAGGGGTCTGTTTAGACCCCCCAATATTTCCCCGAAGCCCCTAAAATAATTGATAAAAACTAAAAATATTTAATAAAAAATGAATTAACCACTTCAAGACCAGGTGTTTAGACCCCCTTCCTGGCCAGGCCATTTTTCAGAATTCAGCGCTGCAGTACTTTGATTGACGTTTATTCCGTCATGCAACGCTGTACTGAAATGAATTTTATACCCTTTTTTTGGGGACAGATAGAGCTTTCTTCTTTTTATTTTTTACTATAATAAAAAATTACAGAAAATTTTGGGGAAAAAAAGTTTTTTTTTTACATTATGTTAGGAAACATTTATTATTACCCAGTTTTTTTGTAAAATATAAAAGATCGGGTCACGTCGGGTAAATAGACACCAAACATGTCAAGCTTTAAAATTGCGCGCACCCGCGAAATCGCAGAAAACTACCATACCCAAAATTGGCCTTAGGCGACGCTTTAAAAGCTTTTACCGCTCATCAGTTTAGTGTTATCAGTGATTGATGGCCCTAGACTTATTGCTCTGACTCCGACGTTCGCGGCCATATGTA